CTGAAGCCTTGTGTGGTTTTCCTTCTCTAGAATGACAACCATTGTTATCCGTTGTCCAGTGTCTGAAAAGCTGTTTCATGTATTTCGGTCAAGTTTGTATTTGTTTCCATGGAAAGGTTACTTCCAATACCTATTATTTCATCATGACAGAAATCAAGTCATTGATAATTTTTATTTATGCAGATTTACTACATACTCAAGAAGACATATGATAGGGATCTTTGCCTTTTGTTTGACCTCCAGTGAAAGGAGTGCTTTAATATTACTCTCAGCTCCTCCCCCCCAAACAAATCAGGATAGTTCCTGCCTGAATCCCAAGTGACTTCCCAGGGCAATCTATGCGACAGGACAGGTTCAGTTTATATATTTAATGGGAAGCTTCATACCCATTTAGGAGCTGGTAACTTTTCTGTGTCTCACGGAATCACAATATCATAAAACCATTGTTCAAACAGGGTTCTTAGTCACATTTTTCTATACTGGCCCCTAGCAAATACAAGAATGGACTGGACTGAGGATAAATACTTGGGGTCAAGTTTAATGGAAGGTGATACGTGCATCCCTCCTATACTCATGACGTTAAATGGTAATTTCTAGTCTTTTTTTTTTTAAGTGATAGAACCATCTTTCTCTCTCTTCCTGTCCTAAATGAAATCTTACTAGGCTACCTTATTCAACTGGGGGCTTGTTGAAAGGAAGGTCTGAAGTACCTCTCTTGCCACATCCACTGGCGACAGCCCAAAAATGCCTTTGTAAAACCTACTATTTTGTGTAACACATTTGGAAACCACTGGGCTGGAACTTCTCCTGATGGTATCAGAGTCTCTCTGCTTCCTAACCCAGACCCTCAATTCTATTCATTGAGATCACGGGAGAGCTTTTAAGGATGTATTATTATCTGGCTCCACCTTCAGAATGGTGGTTTAATCAGTCTGGGTAGAGCCCAGGTACTTTGTTTTTTAACAGAGTTTCCCGGGTGATTCTAGCATGCAATCAAGAGTTGGAAACTTTAAACAGTTTGTGGTTGTATTCCTTGTCTCAACTCTTGGTGAGGCTTAAGCACTTGTTTCTAGCCCCAGAGATGGAATGCTAGAATTTCCTAGAACTCTCAGGATTGGCCTGGACGAGTTTGAGAAATAGCAATTCAAGGTGGGAGGTCATGAATACCTGCATACTTGGTACTTTCTAGGAGGATAATACTCTCATCCACCCGTGTGACTGGCTCTTCTGTCTCCCTGACGTCACAATGTTCTTGTGATACCTACAGAAAAGACCATTTAGAGTTTCTTACTGTGCAAATTGCAAAGAGTTCATGGAGCAAAATAGGAATGTTCAGTGTTGCCAAATTGCATATTCTAACATGTCTGTGGTGGTTTACTCTGCATATTTACCACCAAAAAGTGCTGTGAATGTCACAGCAACCACGGAACAGCCCCAGCCCCCTAGAAATTACGGTGTTCAAACATTAGATCGGTGCTGTTTCAACTTGGTTATAACATCAGAATTACCTGGCCTGCATGTTAAAATATACACTCCTCTTCCTACCCTGAGACACCCAAGAGAGCTAGTAGGTCTGCAGAGGAGCCAAGGAATCTGTATTCGTAGCCAGCACCAGTAAGTGATTCTGATACAGTTTTCCAAGACCACATCTGGAGAAGCACCAAGTGCTAAATTAAGAGGTAAAGCTTCTCTTGTTGCTTCATACCCAGGCATATTTTCTTGTGCATGTAAACCAAAATATCTCACAGACAGTAAATTTAAATTATTGGTGTCAGCAAAAAGATGCATGGCCACAGCCAACCCCAAAGAGTAGTTTAGCTTCCACAAACTCATGCTTGATTTTTTTGATGACACATTTTTCTGGGATTCGAATCACCATCTTTTCCTCTGCTTATGACAAAGTTTGCTTTTGATAAACTTGAGATAAGGTTCAAGTATTTATCTTCTTTCCATTTTTACGGATTTTAAACATTTTACTCAGTAATCTAATGCTTGTTTTAACAATCAGATTACAAGTAAAGTGCTTTTTCAAAAGAAACCTTGTAAAAAACTAAATGTGTATGATTTATATAAGTGATATGAAAGAAGGAATTGTTATCTGTTTTAAAAGAATTCATCATATTACAAAAAGACTTAATTCCCTGAGGACCTCCTTTAAGAGCACATCTGTCCAGTGTTTTTAAAAGTTTCACTGACAAACATTTGGCCTAGGTTCAGTGTGCATGTAAAATACTTATAAAAGTATGAGTTCAATTCTTGGAGGTACAGGGGACAGGTAAGAATCAGCCAATGTACATGCAGAGCCTGGTTTGATGTTAAAATCTCCACACAAAACTTGTGTGTCATATCATTGACTGTTTCTTCATTTGCTAACTGTTTTTAGGAGACAGCTTACTGTTGTGATGGGTTTTTTCAAGATAGGGTTTCACGAACTATTTGACTGAGAGTGGTGTAAAGGCCTTAAAAGATTTAGGTCTTGGAAAACCAAACCAAACAAACAAATAAACAGCAAAACAAAGGATTCAAACTAAAGAGGAAAAAATGACATGTGCTCGTTAGGTTAATAAAGACCCCAGCCAAAGACCCCAACAAGGAATTCATCTGCAAAGCCCTTGGAGAGGAATGGGAGGGAGAGCTGTGCTGGCCCTTCCTCCCAACTTGCTTTGTCTGTCTGTGTCTGGGTGGAGTAAGTGTTCAATTCCCAGTAAAGGACATATTGGAACTGACAGCCCCACTATTGTGTGTATAATATGTCAAGGCTGACACATAAAGGATTAGGATTTCATGAAATGTAATGGGATACGGCAGAGCTGGAGGAGGCCTTGTTCCCAGACCCCTTAGAAAGCAGTCCTTCTTGGTCCACTCTGCCCCTTCTCTGAAGCCCCTGGGAGTGAAAAGTTTAAAGCACCATTTCCCCCCATTACTCCTGATCCTTTGTTGTGCTTCCCTTTTGTCCACCCTGCCTTTTGATTGCTGAGCTTACCCAGCGGGGCAAATTGCCTCTGAAATGGTAGGAACAATGGAATCAGGCAGTGGTCCAGGGAAGCAGAAGCAAGCTTAACCACATCACCCTCAGCTGGTCTGTCCTGGGTGTAAATGAGCAGGCCCAACTTTTCCACTGCCAGGGTGAAATCTACCCTCCTGACGGTCACATGACCTTATCCCAAAGCAGAATTAACTGGAAAGTGAAACAATCAACAAGAAATCGGGGCTTAACAGTAAAAATCACACCTTCTGAGTGCCTTAAGTATTTGGGAAAGAATTATTTTGTTGTTCAACACCTAAGGCATTTCAACACTCCAAGTATTTTATGCATGATTGTCAAATGCAAGATGAGTAGTGTCTTTTTTTTTTTTTTTTTTCTGTACTGAGGTTTGAACTCAGGGTCTACACCTTGAGCCACTCCACCAGCCCTTTTTTTGTGATGGGTGTTTTCAAGATAGGGTATTGTCACTGGAGGTTGGTCCCAGTTTCCATGCAAAATCTCAAGTCCTTGAGATCCACAAACATTGAAAAGCATTGCAAGATGATTCACAACAAGAAGTCCCACAAAGTGAAAGTTTTAGCAAGGATTTATTTTAATATAACAGGATAAACCAAAGAAAAAGGGCGGGGGGGGGTGGAGAGAAACATTTCCTTTCCTGTTCCCCACATAGGAAATGGGAGCAAAGACTCAAAACGGTAGCCCCCAACTCTTAGTTTTATAGTGGAGAACTGGGGGAATACACGTGGTCAAAGATAGTGGGTCCAGGTGGCTGAGATGGCTAACAGAGAGGGGTCACCCTTCAAATCACACCCTAAATCAGAGACCATAGGAAGATAGTTCCTCTTTTGTTTCCCAGTTTCTGTAACTTAGCATCTAAAAGGAGATGGGAGGGAGCTAACTGCTCCGGCTCTCCAACCTTTACTTTGATTCAGTGTCAGAGTCTGACCCTTTAATTATTTATTAAAATATTATAACTTCTCCGTCTCCTCATCTATCTGTCCCACCTCAGTCTCAGGAACTATTTGCCTGGACTGGCTTCAAACTGTGATCCTCCTGATCTCTGCCTACTGAGTAGCTAAGATTTCAGGTGTGAGCCTCAGGTGCCCAGCTGTTTGTTTGTTTATTTAACAAACATTCATTGAGAACTCTCTGTTGTTCTTTCTAGTAGGCATTGGGAATAAGAAGATAAATAATAGGATACTCTCTGACCTCAAAGTACTTATAGTCTTGGGGAGAGAGATAGATAGAAACACAAAACAATGCCACAGTATTATAAGGACTGTGATAGGTGTCTTTAAGGGAGTTAATGGCACCTTGAAAAAGCATCACATAAGAAACTAAGTGAGAGGTGGTGATTGTATTTGCAGACAATATGTTGCAAGATATAGATTGTTAATCTCACTACTGATAAATGAAATACCCATATTAAAATGTGTATTCCTTCATTCAATAAATGTTTGTTGAGTGCCTGCTGGGTGCCAAGGCACTGTGCTTGGTACCTTGGTGACAGTGTATGTAAGCTAGAAAGGTAGGCAGATGTTAAATTTGCACACAAATCATATGTAAAATTAAAAGTATGTTAAGTATAACAAAGATGAAATGTATGATTTCCTGAAAACTTTTAACAAGGGTATTTCTGGAAGGTAGAGGGACTTCTCTGTTTTCACAGAAGCCATAGCAGGAAGAAAGCATTAATTAGGAATTTTAGCAGATGCCAAGAATCAGAAGATAGAGCAACAGAGAAAAAGTGTTGGAAGTTCAGAGACCAAGATTCCATTCCTTACATGATCGTGGAGCACCTCTGTGAACTTCAGTGTCTAGAGCTGGACAAGTAGAGGGCCAGAATTAGGAAGAAAGAGGGTCATTCCAACTCTTGTTTGACCCAAGTCAAAAACAATAACATCCACCTTGTGAATTTCACTGTAATTTTTAATAAACACCCCCCACTAACTCTCAGAAATGCCCCTGTATGAGTAATATATCATCATCCTAAAGAGAGGGAAATGGAGTCTCGATGCCGTCTTCTAGACCTGTGAGCCTGTGGCAAACACATAATGCCAACTAGTGTGCATGGCTTAAGTGGAGAATTAGCAGAACCCTATTCCATGAAAGAGAAGTGAGTTTCACTTAATGTTTTCTCTGTAAATAATATTTTTCTATTTTTCACAGCAGTTGAAATAGCAGCCTACATTCTCAGCAGTACACCTACTAAACACACTCAGGTTGCAGGACTAATTCTTTATTTGTTGATAGTGGCAGTGTTTCTACTACAAATTGCAAGATGAAGAAAAACAATGAAATAATTTTCTTAATTTTTCTCCCGGGCATTAATAGGCTTTTCTTGGGGATACTGTCTCATTCCTAAAAAAAAAAATAGAGAGCAATGGTGTAAGTATAAATGGGATTTTCAAAATCAGGGAGGCAAAAATTACACTAAGGATTCCAGAAACTAGTGTGATGGAGACACTGGTTGTATTAAGACATTGAATTTTACTAGTAATGGTTTCTGCTACCAGCATTTTGACTCTTAAAGGGTGTTTTCTAACAAAGTATAAGTTCTATAGCATAAATGTCAGAGAGAGAGAACTCAGGCATAAACAGACGGAAGATATTATGGGCTAAAGTTTTATAAAGTTACTATGCCAGTCATCATATGCTTCTCAATTTCTAAAGCTTTCTTCAATTTACTAATATTTTCCCTTCTGTAATAAATTTTAGACAAATATATCCTGTAAGTTTACTATTATATGTACAAATCAGACTTACAGTAAACTTCAAGAAATGCTTCTTTGTACTACTAGCATGGCTTTAAAATCTGTCTGGAACAGTGACAGCACACCTCTATGTTAACGGTAGTTTTAATATGGCAAAGTTCCATGTTCACCTTCCATCCCTTTGTGATTTTACAAATACTGTGCTTTGTCTTGAGCACCAAATCCTGCCATTTCTAACAGAGGAGTCAGTCCTAGGAAGTATGCTAAAGACATTCATTCATTCATGTCAGGAAAACACAGCTGCCAACCTGCAGAGGAGTGATCTTGAATAACAATGATTTATTCCTAGTATATTTGTCCAGGAAACTTAAGATTCCTTTTGAGACTTTCTAAGAGTTTCCTCAAAGAATATTAAATGCTTTGTTTAGGTTTACCAATCCCTTAACATGTTAACTCCTAAACACAGCAACATGCCTGGGTTCCACAAAGATTTTAAAGTTCATAACAAGTCTTCCTTGTTTCTTTCTTTCTTTCATTTCTTCTCCATGATCTTAACCTTTAACTCCTTGACTTGTGTTGCTTTTACTTGCTGCAGTATTTCTTTATGAGCTCTTTGAGTACAGAGATGTTGGTCTCTAGGAAAAGCACAAACTAAAAAGAACTAGAATAGGAGGAAGTAAGGTGAAGGTGGGCATATGAGAAGCAAGGACAGAAATGTGTTAGGGAAAAAAACTCTTAGAATGAGGGAGTTTAGCCTGACTTCTTGGCTCTGCCAACTTGAGTGGGACTTTCTATTGTTCAACTTTCATCTTCCTCATTGTAAAATATAGTCCCTGAGTTTAGAGACCTTAAAGACCACTCCCTTCTCTCTCTAAACGGTTCATATTCTCAGATAGCATTGAACCAAGATAGGTCAAGCTTCTTGTTAATTAGAGGGTAAAGACAGCAATTAAAAAATTCTTATGAATGTTCAAAACCAATGCCATGTATCTTTTACTACCACAAGTGGGAAAACCTCTGTGAAGTATGCTGGAATTAAAGATAGCAATTAACATACTCATTTGTGTCCCACTTTCAAATAATTAAGCCATTTGTCATGAAATTTTAAGTGGGCCCAACATGCTCATCTTTGTTTCTCTCTCTCTCTCTCTCTTCCTCTGCACTTTACCTACCCTCAGGCTTATGAGAGGCCCCAGAAGCACTCAACTCTCCACTATGACCCAGGCCTCCCACAGGACTTCACCAGTGACACCTTAAAACCAAAGCACCAGCAAAAAAGCAGCAGCCAGAACCACATGGACTGGTCCACCAACTCTGACAGTGGGCCCACCACTCAGAATTGCTTCATCAGTCCAGAATCTGGCAGAGACAGTGCAAGCACCAGCAAGATCCCAGCTCTTGAACCTGTGACTTCTTTTGCAAAGGCCCAGGGTAAGAAAGGCAGTGCAGGGAGCACATGGAGTCAGTTGTCCAACAATAGCAAAGATCTGCTTTTGGGAGGTGTGGTTCCATCCCCCAGCAACCACAGTTCACCAGCCCCTCCTAGCAGCTCTGTAGAGTGCAATGGACTCCAGCCCTTGGGAGATCAAGATGGAGGAGGTACAAAGGAACCTGCAGAACCACCTACTACAGGCAGCAAGAAAAAGTCCAATAAAAAAGATGTGATAAGTCAAACTATACCAAACCCAGATTTGGATTGGGTCAAGAGTGCCCAGAAAGCATTTGACAATACAGAAGGGAAAAGGGAGGGCTACTCTGCAGATAATGCCCAAGAGGCATCACCAGCCAGGCAGAATATGAATTCTGTCAGTAATCCTGAAAGTGACTCCAGTCATGTCCGGATTACTATCCCCATCAAGGCACCCTCTCTAGACCCAAACAGTCACAAGAGGAAAAAGAGACAGTCCATAAAAGCAGTGGTGGAAAAGATCATCCCAGAGAAAGCACTGGCTTCTGGAATCACCATGAGCAGTGAAGTTGTTAACAGGATACTTTCCAACTCAGAGGGAAATAAGAAAGAGCCCCGTGTCCCTAAGTTGGGTAAAATGATAGAGAATGAGTCCTCCTCAGTTGGCCTTGAACCTGGTGTGAACACTGAGAAAATTGTCCCAGGAGGTATGTCTAAGCAGCGGAAGCCACCCATGGTCATGACGCCTCCAACATGCACAGATCACTCTCCATCAAGAAAGCTACCAGAAATCCAACATCCAAAATTTGCTGCAAAACGGAGATGGACATGCAGCAAACCAAAACCCACCAGTATGCTTAGAGAGGCAGTCATGGCCACCTCCGATAAACTAATGGTGGAACCACCATCTGCTTATCCCATCACCCCATCCAGCCCTCTGTACACCAACACAGATAGCCTCACTGTGATCACTCCAGTCAAAAAGAAGCGGGGACGACCAAAGAAGCAGCCTTTGCTCACAGTGGAGACAATTCACGAGGGAACTTCCACCAGCCCAGTGAGCCCCATTAGTCGAGAGTTTCCTGGCACCAAGAAAAGAAAGAGACGACGCAATTTAGCCAAGTTAGCCCAGCTAGTTCCAGGAGAGGACAAACCCATGAGTGAGATGAAATTTCACAAAAAAGTTGGAAAGCTTGGTGTGTTGGATAAGAAAACCATCAAAACGATCAATAAGATGAAAACACTCAAGAGGAAAAATATCTTGAACCAGATCTTGTCCTGTTCCAGCAGCATGGCTCTGAAGGCCAAAGCTCCCCCAGAAACCAGCCCTGGGGCAGCAGCAATTGAAAGCAAACTGGGCAAGCAGATTAATGTCAGCAAGAGAGGAACCATCTACATTGGCAAGAAGAGGGGCAGGAAGCCCAGAGCAGAGCTGCCACCCCCATCCGAAGAACCCAAAACAGCCATCAAGCACCCCAGGCCTGTTTCTAGCCAGCCGGATGTTCCAGCCGTGCCTTCCAACTTTCAGTCACTTGTGGCGTCTTCACCAGCAGCTATGCACCCCCTTTCAACACAGTTAGGTGGGTCCAATGGCAACCTGAGCCCCGCCAGCACTGAAACCAATTTTTCAGAGTTGAAAACTATGCCAAATCTCCAGCCCATCAGTGCTCTTCCAACCAAAACCCAAAAGGGAATACACAGTGGAACCTGGAAGTTGTCCCCACCCAGGCTGATGGCCAACTCCCCTTCACACCTTTGCGAGATTGGCTCACTAAAGGAAATAACATTGTCCCCTGTGAGTGAGTCCCACAGTGAGGAGACCATTCCAAGTGACAGTGGCATTGGGACAGACAACAACAGCACATCTGACCAAGCAGAGAAGAGTTCAGAGTCCCGACGAAGGTACTCTTTTGACTTCTGCTCCCTAGACAACCCAGAGGCCATTCCGTCTGACACCAGCACAAAGAACCGGCATGGCCACCGGCAGAAGCATCTCATTGTGGACACCTTTCTGGCCCATGAAAGCCTCAAGAAGCCAAAGCACAAGAGGAAACGGAAAAGCCTGCAAAATCGTGACGATCTCCAGTTTCTGGCTGAGCTGGAAGAGCTCATCAGCAAATTCCAAGTGTTCAGGATCTCCCACCGAAGCTACACCTTTTACCATGAGACTCCATATCCCAGCATTTTTCGGATTAATTTTGATCACTATTACCCGGTGCCATATATCCAGTATGACCCGTTGCTCTATCTTCGCAGGACTTCAGACTTGAAGTCAAAGAAGAAGCGTGGTAGGCCTGCAAAAACCAATGACACCATGACAAAGGTGCCTTTTTTACAAGGGTTCAGCTACCCTATTCCCAGTGGAAGTTACTATGCACCCTATGGAATGCCTTACACATCAATGCCTATGATGAACCTTGGTTACTACGGTCAGTACCCAGCGCCTCTGTACCTATCGCACACGCTAGGAGCAGCTTCCCCATTCATGAGGCCAACAGTGCCACCACCTCAGTTCCATACAAGCTCCCACGTAAAGATGTCTGGGGCAGCTAAGCATAAAGCAAAGCATGGAGTACACCTGCAGGGACCTGTTGGCATGGGCCTCAGTGACATACAGCCATCCCTGAACCCTCCCAAGGTGGGCGGGGCTACTCTGTCCAGTGGTCGGCTCCACAAGAGGAAACATAAACACAAGCATAAGCACAAGGAAGACCGGATTCTAGGGACCCACGACAACCTGAGTGGTCTCTTTGCAGGCAAAGCCACAGGCTTCTCCAGCCACCTCTTGGGAGAGCGGCTGAGCAGCACAGACAAAGAGCTCCCACTGTTGAGTGAAAAGAGCAAGCATAAGGAGAAACAGAAACACCAGCACAGTGAAGCCAGCCACAGAGCTTCCAAGAACAACTTTGAGGTGGACACCCTGTCTACGTTGTCACTTTCTGATGCCCAGCATTGGACTCAGGCCAAGGACAAAGGTGATTTGAGCAGTGAGCCTGTGGACTCATGTGCTAAAAGGTACTCTGGCAGTGGTGGGGACAATAGTAGCACAAGATCAGAAAGTCTGGATGTGTTCAGTGAAATGACCTCTTCGAGTGACAAGTGGGACAGTGACGTGAGTGGGAATAAAAGGAGGAGCTTTGAAGGATTTGGGACATACAGGGAAAAGGACATCCAAACCTTCAAGATGAACCGTAAGGAGAGAAGTTCTTATGACTCCTCCATGTCTCCAGGTAAGACCGAGTTCTTCTCCAGACTTGGGCCACATAGTTGTTTCACTGTTGGGCATTGCACTTTGGGTGCCAGCCATCTTGGGCACATTGTGTTCACAAAGAGGTGGGTTCTCCTTGCGCTTTGAGTTTGCTGCATATTTTGTACAGTTTGCTTGGTTTTTACATCTTTCCTCTCTGCTGGAGCTATTGCCTGGGGAACTGCTGAATCCAGAGGCAGTTCCCAGTAGTTGCCTGGGTTACAACCAGACCTACTGAATTTATGCTTTTTATTAAAGATGTTGTTCGTAGCTCCTGACCACATGGTGCAATTTGCTAGTTAGATAAAGTCTCTAAAACTAATTTAAAAACCAAGAAGTCCTCAAGAATTCCAACACTAGTTGGGAATGATACACAGTTTCTGCAGCATACTATCTCTAGAAATCACACATTGGTGAGAAGTCTTCTTCAAAGTAATTTAAAACCAATGATCAATGAATCCTGAGATCTAAACGGTCAGGGGCCACAGCCCCAAGCCATATTGTCCGTTCTTGGTCCATGTGCATTTGTCGAGCTGCCATAGGCAGACACCCAAAGTGAAGCTTGACAGCGTTCACACACTTGTCATTTCCATGCAGTAAGGAGAAGGGGTCTAGATGAAAGATGTTTCATGCCCCACCTCCACCCCCATAAAACCTTACCACCGTGTCTCTCCATGCCCACTGAATTAGGATTTTGTTCATTGATCTCTAAAGTGGTCATTGCTACCAGAAAGACCTCACTCCTTCTCAGTTATGGCACAATTTCTTTTCCAACCTCCCCACCCACACAGATTCTTTCCTGCCATGGGAGCCTTATACTTTGGCAGACATATCCCTGCATCTCTATCCATACATAGCATAGTTGTTAAGACTGTTACAGAAAGATGGAGCACATATTTACAGGCAAAATAGAAGTTCCTTTTATACTACTCTAGAAAAGAAGCTAAAAGAATGTCTTGTGTTTCCTTTATCTCCACACAGTGTATAACCCTCTAGCCAAAGTCTGGTTTTAAAGGACTAGCTATCATCCATGTTTAAGATTTGGGTCTAATGTTTCACCTGTGTTTATGATACATGCCCCTCACTTGTCCTCACTCTTTTGAGGAAGGCCATAATTAGTAAAGGTGAGAGCAGTCTATTCAGGAGGAATGAAGGATGTTTTCTAGGCCAGCAGATTGCAGTAAGAAATATGAGTATAGCTAGAAACCACCTAAATATTGCCCCACATTGCTACTTGCTTATGAGTTGTTCTAGTGGTGGATGTTCCCCTTGGTTAATGAAGAGACCAACTAGCAATCATGTCTTCTGCATTTTCTCAAGGTAATAAATGATCCATACGTTGTGTCTGCCCAAAGAGTGTGTAGTGCTGCCATTTCTCATCAACAGACTTTGTTGAAGGTGCTGATTTTGCATAAAGTTCAGATTAAGCCTACCGGGCAGGTGGCACTAAATTAAATTTGCACAAGAAATAACACTGTTGATCCCTGTCAGCATAATCTCTGTCAGGTCCTGATCCACAGGACCTAAACTAGCTACTTTGTGATTTCTGGGCATTATTTAGCTAGAAAATAATGATGGAGGGCTATTGCTACAAACGTACAAGCAAGAATCCTGACTTCAAAAAGAACCTGAGAATCAAATCTCAGAAATTAAAACCAGATACTTTCACGCGTTGCATTTCTCGGCACCCTCACTGGGATTTTTCTGTGCCCAGACAGTGTGCTTGTTATTGCTTCACTTCACAGGGTTTCTCAGCTTGGCTTCATCTCCTGTCACTGTGTCTCTAGCGACATGTGTGTATTTATATGGTGGGCATCACTTTATTCAAAATTCTCCCTATCCTCTCTCCTATCTTTTCATCCAATGTGGTTTCTTTTGGTGGTCCTAGAGTTTGAACACAGGGCCTTGCACTTGCTAGGCAGGCTGTCTGTCACCTAAACCATGTGCCCATCCCTTTTTGCTTTAGTTATTTTTCTAATATGGTATCACTTTTATGGCCTGGTTTGTGTGGGCCACAGTCCTACTATTTATCCTTCCAGCTCTAACTGGGATGACAGGCATGAGTCACCACATCCAGCTTTTTATTGGTTGAGATGGGGTCTTGCTGTTTCCTGATCTCCACCTCTTGAGTCACTGGAATTACAGGCATAAGCCACCATGCCCAACCTCATTCCATCTTCAGCCAGCCACATGAATGAAATAGGCATCATGACGATGTCAAGAAAGAAAACTAGATTCAGCCCAAAGAGCAGAGTCCTAGGCATGGTTCTGTTATGAACTCCCAGTGTGGCCTCAGGCATGGCTTTCCTCTTCTTTAGGAACTGTCTGCCCATATTTTCATCGAAGTATAGGGCCAGAACTCTCACACATCATTTAGTCCTTAAATCATTTCTCGTACATTGCTCCATATAACACACTTTCTGTATCGTTAACATACAGAAACATGTTGAATATCCTGTGTCTGAATTGGTTGGGTCCAGAATTGTTTCAGATTTCAGATTTTTTTTTTTGAATTTTGAAATATTTGATGTATATAATGAAATGTCTTGGGGATGAGACTGAAGCCCAAAAATAAACTTCATTTATATCTTATATACAGCTTATACACACTGCCTAATAGTGATTTTATATAGTATTTTTAATAGTTTATCATGAAACAAAGTTTATTCATTATATGGAATTTTCCAATTGTTATGTCATGTCAGTGCTCCAAAAGTCTCAAAGTTAGGAGTATTTCAGATTTTGGGTTTTCAGATTTGGGCTGCTCAACCTATGCTTTTATGATAGATCAGAACACTGAGGCTCAAAGAGTGCAAGTAACCCTCCCAGGTTCAGAAAACTGACTCTTTTGACTCTAAGCAAGCCAGGGCTTTATCCATTTCATGGAAACTCAACCACCCATCACCCAGCTAGTTAAGAAGTCTGGAACACAGATCCTGGTCCCCGGGTCATTCCTCTTCTATATCCCACTGCCCTTCCTCTCAACATCCCATCCTCCTCTCATGATGCACATCCCCCAGGTGTCTGCACAGTGGTCATGTGATACTTGCAGAAAAGAGTAAGAAGAAAAGAAGGTTCAGTGCCCAGTGAAAGGAGAAGAAATGTTGTGATCCTAAACACCAGCCTGGAAACAGCTTCACAGACTGGGTTTATACCTCTCTCCTCACTGAAATCTAGTATTCTGACTTATTTTTACCATTGCTTTGTCTCTGTGTCTGTGTTGCATGGCTTATTTTTCCCCAACAAATTAATGAATCATAGCTGTTGGTGGTTTCTATGTCTATATGAATTATATCTGATGTCATCTTGTTGAATATCTTACCAAGACAGAACAGATTCTCTGCCATTTCCCTCACTTCCAAAACCTGGCCTTTCTATGCCTATAGCCAAGGGTCCCCTCTACTTTTGAACTTCCAAAGCATCCAGGAAATATTTCTTTACCAGCACTTGAACACAGTGTCAGAGTTTGTCAAGATTATTTTTGTTTGTTTGGGTTTTTGTTATTTTTTTTTTTTGGCAGTACTGTGGTTTGAACTCAGGGCCTAGCACTTAGCACTCTGCCATTTGAACCATTCCTCCAGCCCTCCCCTTCCACCTTTTTTTTTTTTTTTGACTTAGGTTATTAAATAGGGTCTCATGGGTTTTGCTTGGATTATGATCCTCCTACCTAGGTTAAAGGGTCATGACACCACAGCTGGCTTATTGGTTAAGAAAGGGCCTTGCTACCTTTTTCCCAGACCTAACCTCAAACCATGTTGCTCCTAATCCCTGCCTCCCACATAGTGGTGTTACAGATGTGAGCCACTGTACCCAGCTGTCAAGGCTTTTTGAAGAGCATTCACCCTAATGCCAAACAGTGTGAAGTCCTGTGAAAAGAAAGGGCACAGATGAGATGAGGCTGTTACTGGAGGCATCAGTTGCTACCAGAGACTCCTTCTACTTGGAAGGTGTTAGCTCAGCTGGATGACGTAAGGGTCACGATTGGGATAAACACATGCACTTTCCACAGTGTGTCTCCCTCAGTCTTTCCCTTCTTCACTCTGGATTCATTTCCTTATAAATGTCCTATTTGCATAAGCTATTCTTCTCTAAAATAGATACAGTACAAATGTAAATGTCATTCTGTAGCCTATTGAGGACCAGATTTAGGAGCTGAGTTGAGGGAGGCCTTTGAACAGTCTCTGAGATCAGAGCTGATGAAAGGCACCATATACATATAAGTCATTATCATTATGGAGAGAAGAATTAGAGACCCATTAAGCAATGGCAGCAGTCACACACTCCATTTCCTCTTTCCTGCGTAGGAAATCCTTCATTCTCTACCCTTGGTCTAGCAGATGACTGCATTGTCTCATTAACTCACTTCAATACACACACCCAGAACTTAGAAGTTGTACAGATTCCTTCCCATTTTTCCATATTTTACTCTCTCTTCTTCTTCTTCCTCTGCGGTTTTGGAAGGCAGTGGCTCCTTTGTCCTGTTTTCTAAAAGCATAGCATCTGCTAAATCTCCATTTATAAAAATGCTTGCCTGGGGCCAAAAAAAATGGATAAATAGTGGGAAGGTTCAGTCTCAGAACTGGAAAAATGCTTTATCAGCTCTGTTTGAGCCTCTCTGTCAACAGGCGTTGCTATCTCTCACACATGCAGCAGATTCCCAGAAGAGTAAACCTGTCTAGAGTTGACATGACATAGTCAGAATAATGCCATATGCCTGCAAAGCCAAGTTCCCATAGACAGTAAAAGAAAAGGCTAGTTTTGAGTGATGTTCTTCCTGTTAAAACTACTTTGAAACAATCTTTGCATACTTTGACCTGTTGTTATTCCAGGTACTAAGAAATCACAGCCATTGCTGTCCAGGTTCAGATCAGAAAACTGAAAACAGTGAGAAGAGTTCATTTGCATGTGTTACTTTAGTTCCATGCCACTGTTAGGCAAAGAAGCCATGTCTAGTCCTCAAATATCAAGTATGGCTTCATGATG